TGACTGATCATGTTCGGCCATACTTATTTTTTTTTAATAAATAGTATTTTACATTTTAATTTTTCTTTTTTATTATTACCGCTGGTAACAATATTACAGATAGAAAAGTTCAGTGGTCAAAAAGTATATGCCTACATTCATGTCATTCAAAAACCGCTGTTTAAAGTGTAATTTAAATACTGTATACCTGTCGATACATCTTATTAGTAAGATTTTGGTGAAGACTACATTGCACATGGAAAAATAACTAGGAAATTCAGTGAAATGGGCATTTCTCGTTAAATATTTGTTGATCTAGTTTTTTTGTAATGTAATTTTATTCGTGTTGTATGTTTTAATGTATATTATAACAGCTGTTTTGAAAGTGATAATAAAAATGCTACTAAACTGAGAGGTAATAAGATACATTGCTCTTTGGAATGTCAACAAACATACAATAGAAGAGAAAAAAGCGGAAACACTTATCGAAGAAATTAATAAACTTAAGAAGACAGTAGAAGATAAAGAGGTATACATTAGATGTTTGCAACGGAGCACTCAAAATTACGAAGACACGGTTCTTGAGGTAGAAACTACACTTTTACAAAAACTGGGTGATCAGGAAAAAATTATAGAAAAAATAAATACAGAACTTTTGCAATCAAAAAATAATAATACTTCATTAAATGACATCATTTCTGTTAAGGAAGAACATGAAACAAAATTTTAGAAAACGAAAACAAAATGGCCATTGACAATTTGAAGATTATAAGTAAAAAAATAAGAAATCTTCAAGAAAACAATCAAAATTAGAAAGATCCATTAAATCAATAGAAAATCAAAATTAATGTTACTCAAAAGAAGTGAATGATCTAAGAAATATATACAAAAATCGAATAGTAGAGTAGAAACAACACAAAATCACCAACTGCTTTTGAGAAGAATGACATAAGCTTAGTTCCGAACGATATTAAGATTGTTACAATAATTCCGATACCAAAAATTTCGAATTCAAGTAAGGCTACCCATCTAAGACCGATAAATTTGATAAGTGCTGTTGAAAAACTAATAAAAAAAGTAATATATCTTCAAATTATTGATTATTTAGAGGGGAACGGTTTGATAAATAGTGTGCAATCAGGATTCCCTGGATCAAGATTTGTAAACACAACTGTGAAACTGCTTTACAGTTGGTGTTGCATGACTGAAGTTATCAATTGAAAATAATTTGGTTACACAGGCGGTGTTTTTAAATTTACAGATGGCATTTGAGACTATTAATAATAGAGGGGTAGATTATTAATGAAATTAAGAGCTATTGGTTTGGGAGGGTTGTGTGCTGAAATGGTTAGGTCATTAGATGGAAAATAGGAAACAAAAGGTTAAAGTAAGTAATTGTCTTTCAGATATTATAGAGAATAATATGGGGGTGCCACAGGGTAGTGTTCTAGGTCCGCTACGGTTTTTAATTTATATTAATGACATTGCTGGTGTAGTCGAAAGATGCTCAATACACTTATTTGCATATGATACACTGATGTATTTTACCCATGAAAACACTGAAACTTGTTTTAAAGAAATTAATAGTTCTATAAGTAAAATATATGATTATTGTAACTGAAACTCATTGAAAATAAATTAAATAAGACAAAGTGGATGTTAATTGGGGGTATTGGAAATTTAAAAAAATTAAATGTAGCATCGCAGTGTGTTTCTGTTGATGGAATAAAGTTTCAGAGAGTTGAAAAATTTAAATATCTAGGGGTTATGGGTGATATAAATTTACAATTTAAGGAACATGCTAATAACGTCATCAAAAGCATATCATTTAAAATAAACTATTTGAGGTGCTGTTCAGTACATCTCAGCAAATGGGCTAAAATAATAATTTATAATACTCTAATATTACCTCATTTTAATTATTGTGCCACTATATTTAGTCGAAGCAATGAAGCAAAATGATCCTGGGTTTTCCGTGCAAGTCGGATCGGAATGCGGTTTTTTGCATTCGCTTGCAAAAATTATTTGTATCAGTCCTCCGTAAGTTCCGGGTCATACAAACCGGAAATTGCATTGCTGCAGCCAAAAATGCATTCAAAAAATGCATTATTTGAGAGGCCTCTTGGATGATTTCAAAACTTGTTAAATAAGTGTCAGAACTAGTCCAGATCGGGTTCTCGGAGGTTTTCGAGGTCGCTGATCACGATTATGATGTCTAAATTGACCCACAGCTGACCTGGAGCTCAGGAACGTCGACGAACGTCATCTTCGTGGGACTCTCCCAAAATTCACTCGGGGAAGGAGGGCAACTAGGCGATCGGGGTTTTTATGGGTCGCTGAATCCAAATATGGCATTGGCGAATACCCCCCGGACACCTGGTGCGCCCAAACCTCGACCTGGACGTCATCTCCGAGAATTTTCCTCACAATATCGACAAGAACAACCCGAAAATGATTGAGCGGAGTTTTTTGGGGCGCGAAATCCGAATTTCACGTGGAAAACGACCCCCCGAACACCTGGTGCGCCCTAACGGTCCTGAACGTTTTTACCGTGGTTTTTCCAGACCCAATTGAAAAATACGAACCGAAAATCGTTAAAGGGGGGGGTTTTAGGTCGCTGAATTCAAATATGGCTTCGGCGAACTCTGCATGGACACCTGGTGCGTCTGAACCTAGACCTGGACGTCATCTCCGAGGCGTCAATACTGCAATAGCTGTGTGCAATTGTTGATTATAGATTACGTGAGGAGGAAAGAAAGAGAATGAATAGAAACGCACTATTTATGTAATTTACGGTAAAACAATTTTTATTGGCCTCAAATCGAATAGAATGAACCTGTAAGTTTGTCATTCCTTAATTAATTAATAACTCAAATGTGTCTGATCATTCACAAATTTTACAGGCAAGATTGCAAGGTAGGCCGTGCTTCCTGCAACTACAGGTGTTCAGATTACAATCTCCTTTGCATCCACAGAATATTAGTTCCATAATATTCTTGGGCGCAGGTTTTTCTTCCATCTGTACAGGCACTAGTGTGTGGCCTTCCTTTCTCCACCCCCATTTTGTTGGGTCCATGGTCAGCTGGTCTCCATGCAGCCATTGTTGTACTTGAAAATAGACCCTCTTTAGATGTTGTTGAATGGCGTCTACTATAGGGAGAATTTTGGCAAAATTTACTCTCCCCGTCGCAGCGGTTCTCCTTTACATTTCGCACCTGTACGTTTGAAGTAACTGGTCCCATTTTGGCTTGTCACGAATATTTGGTTTCCTGAATGACATTGGAACACTGTACATTGCCAGGATTAGCTGCGCCCCGTTCTCAAAAATTGTTTCGCTGGACAAACCAGAATGGATGAACTTTTTCTAGGGCCCCAGGGGAGAGTTACACATGAATGAATGTATAAAATTATGTTTTGGGGAGTTTTTTGTGACCGCGACTGTAAAACCTTCGGAGATTCTAATTCAGCGCCCCTTCACGATTTTCGGTTCGTCTTTTTCGATTGTGTCAGGAAAATTCTCGGAGATGACCACCAGGTCCAAATTCGGACGCACCAGGTTTCCGTGGGGTGTTCGCCGATGCCATATTTGAATTCAGCGACCCAAAAGCCCCCCTTTAACGATTTTCGGTTCGTCTTTTTTAATTGGGCATGGAAAACCTCGGTGAAGAAGTTCAGGGCCAGGTTAGGGCGCAGCAGGTGTTCGGGGGTCTTTTTCCACGTGAAAATCGGATTCAGCGCCCCAAAAAACCCCCTGGAACGATTTTCGGTTCGTCTTTTTCAATTATGTCTGGAAACCCCTCGGGGATGACGTTCAGGGCCAAGTTCCGGTGCACCAGGTGTTCAGGGGGTCGTTTTCGACGTGAAATTTAGATTCAGCGCCCCAAAAAACTCCGCTCAATCATTTTCGGGTCGATATTGTAAGGAAATTTCTTGGAGATGACGTCCTGTTCGAGGTTTGGGCGCACCAGGTGTCCGGGGGGTATTCGCCGATGCCATATTTGGATTTAGCGACCCAAAAAACCCCGATCGCCAGTTGCCCTCCTTCCCCGCGTGAATTTTGGGAGAGTCCCACGAAGATGACGTTGGTCGACGTTCCTGAGCTCCAGGTCGGCTGTGGGTCAATTTAGACATCCCAATCGTGATCAGCGACCTCGAAAACCCTTGAGCACCCGATCTGGGCTAGTTCTGACACTTATTTAACAAGTTTTGAAATCATCCAAGAGGCTTCTCAAATAATGCATTTTTGGCTGCAGCAATGCAATTTCCGGTTTGTATGACCCGGAAATTACGGGGGAATGATACAAATAATTTTTGCAAGTGAATGCAAAAAACCGCATACCAATCCGACTTGCATGGAAAAACCCAGGAACTTTGGCCTTTTTAGTGCTTCATTGCCTTGACTAATTGTATTTGCTCAACCAGAATGAGTTGTAACGATTGCAAAAGTTGCAGAATAGACGTACGAGGATAATACTGAGCTGTTCGAGATTGGAACCAATCAATTCCATGTTGAATGTGCTTCAGTGGTTGCCTGTTAAAAAGTATTTGCTATTCTTATCCCTTCTATTTATATTTAAGATTAAATCAGGAATCTACCCAATATATTTAAGTTATAATCAGGATGTTCATGAACATAATACACATAATAAGAAAAATTTTAGATTTTATAAGGCCACGAAAAAATGTACACAAAATTCAGTGTTTTTTTAAAGGTGTACAGGCTTTTAATAATTTGCCTGAATATATTAAATGTTCTTCAAATGCAGTACTATTTAAAAGAAAACTGCATGAGTTCTTGCTGACCAATTGACTTTTTTTCTTTCTTATTCTTTTATTATGTTTTGTATAGTTGACACTTATGTACTGTATCTTATGTATTTTTTATGTATGTTGATTCTATACTTATGTATTTTTTATATTTTGAATGTGAAGATGTATTGACATGTAAAAAATAGTTTTTTTGACTAAATAAACAATTTATATAAATGTAATAGCTTTTAAGTACAAGCCTGTGAGTAATTATATATTTAAAATTTTAAAGTCTGCTTGTTCCACTCTGTTTCATCCCATAATATATCACTGTTGCAGGATAACAGAAATGTATGGGTTTTCATAATTTAAATTTTAAAGCATTCAACTATTCTTTCTATGTCTATGCATTTGACTTTATATATTTTGTTTGTGCTAAATGTGATACTGAAATGTCCAAAAAATAATTGAATAAGAAAATTATATGTAATATGTGTAAATATTGTCAGGCTTGCTCTGGTGTAAACTACAGAAATAATTATAACTGTTCAGCAGAATTTTACTGAAGAAGAACAAATTGAATAAAGAAAAGTGAAAGTGAGAAACAGTTTGGACATTTACTTTCAGAATGAAATAAATACTGCTTGGAATAAATAAATAATCCAGATTCAATTAATTAGGTTTTATTTCAACTGAATCAACTGGATCATAACAATAAAAATAAAATAAGCATATATAAATAATTAATAGTCAAAACAAGGTACTGTACATTTAAAATTTGCTCTTATTTCCAAGGAATAAAGGCTAGTCACTAGTCATCATCATCGTCGTCATCAGATGGTACAAACAGATCATTTTCTTCTAAGAAATTGGCAATATTTTTACTAATCGCAGCTCCAACCAGCAATCCTGATATAACTGTTACCAAAACTTTAAGTATTCCCAAAGAAGTTCGGTGGGGCTCCTGATACACTACTCCATGTTTATTTGATATTGAAGTTCTAACTATATTGTTATTTAATATAGGTTGGATTTTTTTCGCACTATATATTACTTTTAGGCGAGACAACATTTTGTCTAAAATATAAATAACAAAGATTTTTTTTTAAAAGATAAAAATAGGTCAACCACAAATCAAAATTCTTCAGATTTCTGGGAAATATTGTCTTTTATTTGTGCAGTTATCCAGTTATCCATACTGAAGATAGCTATAAATGACTAATGACTGCCGACTGGCACTGATTAGGGCACTGGGCACAGATACAATACATTTTATTCATTTTTCTGTTTTATTCTTCTGTTTGTCTGAGGTTTCAATATGATTTATAAATGAAAAAGTATATAACATTTCAATCAAACTTTTTAAAAAGGTTTCCCCTTCCTCCATGGGTCCACCATTAGTAATCTATGGGTCCACCCTTCATATTCTTCTTTTTTAATAGACGTCATTTTTAAAAACTAAAAAGACAGTCACATTTATTTTCAAATAAAAAAGTTTTTAATTTTTATTCAAATTTTAAAAATAATTTCTTGAAGACGGTAAGTATTTTTTTGTACATGTTTTTCTAGCAATACATATTTTTTACATCATTAATTTTTTAGTTTTTGCTTTTGCACCACGCATCACGCTTGCGTGAAAAATGTACTTTTCTCGCACAAACGCATTACGTCCAACCTCATTTTTCTCGTTTTCATCTCGTATAAGATTAGAATAACAAAATAATTATTTTATAAAGTACCTATAAGAGTTATAAATAGTAGTTATCAAGCAATTTAGTTTATTAATATTTTCATTTTGCCATTCTCTTATGGCACCAGTTGAAGAGAACGATAGAGATAGTGGGATGGAATCTCAAGAAGGATCAACTTTTGAAACAGAAGATACCGACAAAAAACGACTTGAAATTGAGGATGATGTGGAGGAGGAGGTAAGGCAGAATTAATAAAACCAAATTGATTTTCTATGTAGTTAATAATTTTCATTAAACATAACCTCAATTTGATCCTTCAAGGTGTGCTGATTAGATTTTGGTTATCTTTAAATCAAAGATATAGCTTTAAATCCATCCTAGGACTCCTGGGAGAGGCAATATTTTATTATTTTTTTTTTTAGTATTGGTCCATGTTCTATTTAATTTTTATAATTATTTTTATGCCATAGATTAAACATTCAATTTGTCAGCCATATAATTTAATGATGATGATTTAACATGAATAACATTGCATTGACGCCAATAAATTGTGTGTATTAGTACTGTTAGATTACTCAAAAGCCTTTGATAAAATTAATCATTCTTTGTTAATAGCTATCTGTCACTATCTAGGTTTTGGTAATTCTTCTTTAAAGTTGTTATCATTGTATTTAAAAAGCAGAGTCCAGCGGGTCCACTTGGATCAAAGTAAATCTAATGTATTACATACTACTCGAGGTGTGCCACAAGGGTCAATATTGGGCCCCCTTCTATTTTCTTTGTATATATCACAATTTCATAAATACATCACTTATCTGAACTATCGAAAAAATTTTGCCTATCAATAAACCCCACAAAATCAAAAGCTATTGTATTCTGTTGCAAGAAATCCAGAAACACTATTAAAAATAATATGCAAATTTATATAGATAACAAATTTGACATTTTCCAATTGCGAAGAAAACTTAGGTATTCTTATAGACAAAGATTTGCATTTTTCCCAACATGTTGACTTTATTATTAAAGTCTTTTTGTAATATAAAATTAATCTATTCAAATCGTGAAATTTTAAACAAAAATACAAAAAAGATACTGTGTGAAAGTTTAGTCTTGTCTCAATTTAATTATTGGGACATAATATATGGCCCAGCACTAACCCAATTTAATAGAAATCGATTACAGCATTTTCAAAATGCCTGCATAATGTTAATTTGTGGTATTCGGCGCCATACTCCAACTTCTAATTATGTGATTGATTTAGGCTGGCTGAATCTAAACAACAGAAGACTGCTACATGCTTTTGTTCCGTTTCAAATTTTACTCACGAAAAAACCAAACTACCTTCATGAAAAAATAAAAAAAAAGATCAGAGGTCCACACCATTAATGTACGATTCAAAAATAATTTAACAATTCCTAAACACAATACTTCTTTATTCATATCCTGCTTCTCTTATTATATAGCTAAACTTCACAATATGGCTCCTTAATTGTTCAATACCTCGCCACTTTCCCGTTTCAGAAAATCGTCAGACTTCACATATTTAATGGAAAAATTAATTACGTGATTTAAAAAAAAAATAAAAAATAAAAAAAAAAATTATTTTCACAACACAGATCTACCAAAAACATTAATGTAAATAGTATATAAATTTTAGTTCATTAGATTTGGGGTAATTTTATGGCTGGATTAGTTTAATAATTTAGTTTATCAAGTAAATTTAGCGGATATTGTATTTCATGGTTTATACGATTACAGTTATATAAAGAACCCCGCACACATCTTATGGAAATTGGCTCCCGGTCAAATTGGCTGCAATTTGGATATGCTGTTCGTTTCGGCATCCTGAGCAAAAGTATCAATGGGCACAATGCTCAATTTTTCTTATTTTGGCACCTACGGAGCTCCAAAGCTCCACTGATTGACCATTATTTACTACTTAAAAAGACAATCTTCTCGAAAGTTTAGTATTTGCTGCGTTAAAAAAGAAGCCCCTTCTTATGTTTTCGGGGTCGCTGCATTCAAATCCAATGCCAATATAACAATATTGACAGCTGTCAAACAACAAGCAATAATCAAAATTGATAAAATTCACATATAAATATCTGTTTTTGAGGTTGGTAAGTTCAAAACTGATGTTAACAACTCGATATTGACAGTTAACAGCTGTCAACTAACTGTCAAACAGCATGTGACAATCAAAATTGATAAAATACATATGTAAATATATGTTTTCGCGGTTGCTGAGTTTAAAATTAAGGTCAAAAAGACGATATTGACAATGATCAGCTGTCGACTAACTGGCAAACAGCATGTGACAATCAAAATTAATTAAATCCACATGTAAATATGTTTTTGAGGAAGTTGAGTTCAAAACTGATGTTAACAACGTGATATTGACAGTTGACAGCTGTAAAATAACTATGAAACCACCACAATATTTATTTCTACCGTCGGCGTTAGCGTTACCCGATGTACACCACGTGGAGGTCGCGCGATCGGTTTTTGTACATCTTAAAAGGGCCGATTGTTTTATTGGATCTATGATTTCACGATATTTTTTATCAACCTATTTATAATATAGGACGATATATATCGTCCTATTTTAGAAATAGTTAAAGAAAAATTATCACGGACTCCGATTTGAGTTTTAGATTTTTATCAATGCATTTGTGAAAATATAATGTAATATTACAGTTTAGTTATTGTGGACGGTTTCTTGCATCTCGAATAGTATTATTAGTTTGACAGTTAGTTGACAGCTATTAACTGTCAATATCGTCTTTTTGACATCAGTTTTGAACTTACCAACCTCAAAACAGATATTTACATGTGGATTTTATCAATTTTTATTATTGCTTGTTTGACAGCTAGTTGACAGCTGTCAACTGTCAATATTATTATATTGGCATTGGATTTGAATGCAGCGACCCCGAAAATATAAGAAGGTACTTTTTTAACGCAGCAAATACTAAACTTTCGAGGAGATTGCCTTTTTAAGTAGTAAATAATGGTCAATCCGGGGAGCTTTGGAGCTCCGTAGGAGCCAAAATAAGCAAAATTGAGCCTTGTGCCCATTGAGACTTGCTCAGAATGCCGAAACGAACAACATAAGCCAATTTGACCCAGAGCCAATTTCCATAAGATTTGTGCAGGGTTCTTTATTTATTGTCCAAGGTTGCGTGGAAGAGCGCTGCTCAATCATTATTCTCTATCGGGATAATATGCGAACGCCGCCACTTGCTTTCAGGTACCTAATACATATATTTTTTTTTGTGTAATTACATTATTGTTAATTTGTATTTATGAAAGCAATAAAGTCATTTATTATTATTATACTATTATTAAATGACCTCTACTTATGCTATAATGAGAATATATAAAATTTTACTAGATGTATATTCATTATTTTTAGCCAGATGAGACCTTCTCAGAAAGACTATGGGGACTAACAGAAATGTTTCCAGAACCAATCAGAAATCTTTCTTGTACTGCAGCAACATGTACAAAGATTGGAGTAAAAGGGTTATACAGTTTCTCAAGAAATGCTTTATGGGTAGTATTCAGTACGTCTATTATATTATTTGCCCCAGTCGTATTTGAAGTGGAAAGAGCACAAATGGAAGAAATGCAGAAAAATCAACAAAAACAGTTACTTTTAGGACCCAGTTCAGCAATGGCAGGGGGCGTGCCGCCTCCCATAATGCCCCCAATGCAGAAAAGTTGAGGGTTATAGTTAGTTGTGAGAAAGTTATGAATTGACTGTACCATAATAATTAATAAACCATTTTGTTGTTTACGTTAATTATGAATTTGACAGGTAGTTATGGTTTTTAAATAGAATACTTACTGTAGAGTGATTTTTTTATTTGCAGAATTATTTGTGATGCAATGGGTTAATTAAAAACATTTTAGACTGTAAATTCTAAATCTGGGTTTTGAACTTCCACTCTCTCAGTTTTTGACTTCATAATGTTTCAATTCATATGTATTTATGATCATTCTCAGGTGAAAAATGAACAAATGTCACAATGCACCATATAAATAAATTTATATTACTATATAATTCACCTCCTTACAAGGGAATTTTAATCCTACAAGCCGACTGAGTTTGTGTTGAGAAGGGACGGCTATTATTATTTATAGATGATTGATGATGTCATTTGACTTACAGGTGAGGAAAAGCTGGAAAAAAACCCGCCCACTATCATTCCTTGGTTTATATCACTTAACTACTTTGTTATATTCTCTTTTAATTGTGTATATGCATCTTTTGTAAGTTTAGCTACATAATATTTGTACACCTGTAGAATGTTGGAAATACACACGATTGAAATGTCATGCCAAAAATTGAAAAGGATGAATGGTAGTTTGAAATCCAGATTTGGTTATTTAATCTTGGTAAGCTTTATGAAATAATAAATATGAATTAATGGTGTTTCTTCTTGTTTAGTATGTGTTCCAAAATGAGATGTAAGTAAGGTTAGAGATGTGTTTAATTAATAGTTCACCAAACTGATTTGAAAATAAATTATTGCTTTCAGAATCTGAATACAATTAAGTATAATGATTCGATCTGTTTGGCCTTACCAATGGATACCACCATTAGGGTGGGCCGAAAAATTTTTATTTTGAATTTCAAATGTGGCTAGCGTGGAAAAGTTGTGACTTGGGTCCCTTGTTTTGCATATTTTTTTTTTCTTTTTTTAATTTATATTTAGCCGGGCCCCTGAGGGCTTAAAATTTTAAGATTTTAATTAAAAAAAAAAAAATCGTGGCTAGTAAGAAAACGTTAACTAGTCACCTCCTTATCATATAAAAAAAATCATGAATATATTTCAATCTTTAGCCCATCCCCTTTGATGAAATATAATTTAAACACATTCGTAATGCATCTGTGCAGCGCAGTGGATGGTTGTTTGTTTGGGTACTTCTTTTGTTACCAGCAATTTGTCTATATTTATCAGTTTTTTCAAGTTCTTACGTTGACGTTGTTGTGTCTTAGCTAGTGGAATTGTTTAAATACGTAAATCGAAAACTTGTGTGTTCTTTTAAATTGTTTAATTTAGTGAACAATATGGCAAAACAAACACGTGCGGGTTCGAATATTTATTTATTCGAAGCAGAGAAAGATATTATTCCAGAAAAAACTATTATGTTGCCGACTTATGAAGATGTGATACGTTCTTTTTACAATGTTCGTTCGAATTTAAAAAGAGACGGAAAAAACAACCAGAATCAAAAAGAATTGCAAATATTGTTGCCGAAAAAATACAGGTAATATGGAATAGGGCTTCTCTTCACACTTTAGCTCACAAGAGAATCATTGACATGATTTTAGAATTTAATAATTACTATCAAAGAAATATAAAACCTATAAAAAGTAGAGAGACCACATTTTTAGCTGCAAAGTTAGATAAATTTAAAAATGATGCCAAACGATTATTTGATATTTGTTTCTGCAAATGTACGAACAAAATTTCCTGCAAATGTGACAAAACTCGAAAGATTCCAGATATAGAATGGCCTTTTATAGAAGATCAAAGATGTAAAAGGTAACATAGATAAAACATAGATAAAAAAGTGACGGCAAAGCTTAAAAAAAGAATTGAAAGATTACCAAGAAAACTCTACTAAGTAATAATAATGAGTTTAAAATGTGTTGCCAAGAGCCTGTAGCCGGTCCCAGTGGAATTCAGCATAGCAGCAGGGCTATTAAAAGTTCTACGATATTCAATAAAATGATAGTGATACCTCTGCGAGCTCAGATACAAATACTGACGAAGACTTTGTATTAGAAAAGCAACCAAAACCAGAGAAGTAAAAGAGGATGTCTGAAATGAGGCATTCGTTGTTACATACTGCAAAAATTGCAGACTTGACAGGTGTCTCTAGTCGCACTGCAGCAAAAATTGCGAGTGCCGTTTTAGAAGACAAGAGGCTCATCACGAAAGACGATATGTAAAAGTCATCGACAAGAATAAGATTCGACGAGAAGTAAATAAAAATCGACTGCGGCTACAAGAAGCGGAAACTAAAAGAAAAGTTTACAATTAAGGTCTATATTTTGATGGGAGAAAAGACCAAACCATGTCCAGGAGAAGGGCCGCCGAGTTATTAAAACGGAGGAGCACATTGCCCTAGTCGAAGAATCTGGAAGTTTATATTTCGGACATTTAGCACTCACGCAGTCACGAACGATAGATATTGTCGAGGCAATTATGAGCGACATGAAAAACCGAGGAATAGAATTAATGCAATATAATAGGAGAAATCGGTGGGTGAGGGGATGGGTAGGTGGGCGGGAGGGTGGAACTCGAGTTGCGGCCACCTCCTCGTGGTGAGTTCTGGGTTGATTTAATATTCAACTAAAAATGAATAAATATTTAATTAGATATTTTCATATTGTGAATATTGAATTACGCGAAGAGCTGCACAAAATAAAATTTTTAAGTAATATTTTTTTTCAAACGAGCGGTGCTGGACGAAATATTAAAATATTTTAATCATATTTTATATAAACATTATTAAGGCAGCAAATAGTCATTTGGGCACTAGCCTTGGTAGATTTTAGGATTTTTTTTTGAGCCCCAAGGGACCCGGCTAGAATATTTAAAAAAAATTTAATTTTTGATATAAAACATAGTCACGACCAGTCACAACTTCTCCATAATAGCCAAACTTAAATTTCGAAAAAAATTTTTTTTTCTAATTGTCGGCCCACCCTAACCACCATTCTGCGTATTTACTTCAATTTTTACATTGTATATAGTAATGACATCTAAAAAACCTGCCAAAGTTTGCTATATGCAATATTTCAGGAAGAAGAGTTCCTTTCATCAAATTCTTTGTCATTCAAATGGGTGATTGTGGTTTAATATATGCTACACGTTTTATTTTATGATAAAAGCTGGATATGTATTTGTCCTAAAATATACTAAACTGCCTGGTCTATAAATAATTATTATAGACACGATATGTGATTGTTTATTTTCCAAGGTGATAGAAATTTTAATAAAAACCAGATTATATAATTAATTTGAAAAATTGGTTTTTAACCGACTTCAACAAGTATTTAAAAAAGACCGACTTCAAAATCGTGCAGATGCCATCACCACATCTTAACCAAATTTATACAGTGAGCATCATAAGTCTTACCCCCCCCTAACTAACTCGTTACTGGGGTCTTGTTAGGAAAATCGCCGAGACAGGTCGATTGTTGATTTCTACAATGTACATTTTTGCATGATTAGTTTACCCTTAATTTCATCCCTTACTGGAGGGTAGCAACCCTTTCGAAAAATTTAAATGGCTTGGGGTGGTGAGTGATAGCTCATTTGAAAGGGTGTTTTATTCTCTATTCAACCGTGCAAAAAATTTTGAAATTTGCTTCATTACGTGTTGATTTATTAATGTTTAAAAATAACAAAACCTCACAAAATAGGAAAGCAATTAGACTAACAGTGACATTCTAATGGCAAAAAGTCTTACTTCACGTCTGAACCGAAACCGAAATCATGCTGGGCCGAATTTTAATTCTAAGGATGAGTGCGCTACGTTAATTTCCGTTATTCTGAAACAACAATTAGTCGAGAACTAATGAAGCAAATTTCAAATTTTTTTACACGGTTGAATAGAGAATAAAACCATCTTTCAAATGAGCTATCACTCACCACCCCATGCCATTTAAATTTTTCGAAAGGGTTGCTCCCCTCCAGTAAGGGATGAAATTAAGGGTAAACTATTTATACAAAAATGTACATTGTAGAAATTAAAAATCGACTTGTCTCGGCGATTTTTCTAACAAGACTCCAGTAACGAGTTAGATAGGGGGGGGGTAAGACTTATGGTGCTCACTGTATGAAACCACCCCTGAGCAGAGCTGTTTAAAATCATTTTAAAAACGATTTAAATCAAAGATCATAAATCGTTTGCATTTGAACAAATGATTTAAATCAAAGATCGATTTTTTAAAGAGAAAGATTTAAATCAAAAATCTTTTTTAGATTTAAATCTTTTTTACAATTTAAATCATTTTAAAAAAGATTAAATCATTTTAGGAAAGATTTAAATCTTTTCGAAAGATTTAAATCTTTTCGAAAGATTTAAATCTTTTCGAAATATCTAAATCTTTTTAAACGAAATAAAGATTTTCAAAATATTTAAATCTTCTTAAAAGATTTAAATCTTTTTATAAATTTGGGTAACTCTTTAAAAAATACTTTCGGTAGGCCAAAGGTAATGAATACTTAAGTATTTTGATTTTCTCATAAATAAAACGCAAAAATCGATCAACTTTTCTCGTATTTATTTTTGATCGTTATTAGCCCACTGCAATTCTTAGGGAAATGTTAATTTTAAATAATAAATATCCGATCGAGATAAAATTTTTAACGTTTTATGCAGTATTGATGTCTATAGTTATGAAAATTGTTATTTAAAAATGTCATGTCGATTGGTAAATAGGAATTTTTCAACCCTTTAAAAGATACTTTTGGTATGCCTATGATGCCACAAAACAATGGAGACCTAGTTTTTAAAAAAAGGTAGTTTTTTTCTGAAAAATCACTTAAATCCGTCAACTCTTCCTTGAGTTAACGTGCTTAAGAGCGCTTTCACACGAAGATACTGTATACGAGATACGCGTATCCGAGATTCAGGCTGACCATACATTCAAATGGACCTATTCACGCGGTACGGGCGACACATACAGTATCGCGATACGGA